TGAATTTGGAGGACATTATGCTGAGTGAAATAAGTCAATCACAAAAGGACAAATATTGTATGAATTAATTACTGTAAAACTTCAAGGAATTTTATTCAGGATAGGAAATTCACATTATTGGTTGCTGGGGATGGGAGGGATGGGGAGGCAAAATTTTATACTAGTTGGGGTTCACATGTTGATTTGAGCGAGGGGAGGGGCAGTATGGTAAGAGTCTGTGACCAGCATGGTGACATTGGAGAAAGGAGAAACATAGGAATGTGCACAAAAGATATAGACAACAGAGGCCAATACTATTACATGCACAATACTGCATTACCAGTGGCACAAAAACACTAGGCAATGGGTAAATGCATAGACAGGTGAGAAGATCAGGTGGGGGTCGCCAAACAGGAATATACCCTAGACCAAGTATAGACATGGCTGAAGATAATCCTATATATGCACTTGTTCTACAAAATTATCCACATACATTACAGAAGCAACAGAAGACAGGGTTGGAGTAGCTTCTCAGAGACAATCAAACACCGTGAGAGAGAGAATCACCAGGCCTGGGGGCTTGGGACCATATTCTCAGGGGACATCATGTTCAATTGGCACAACATAGTACATAAAAGTCTTGTTTTATATCCTACTTTTGTGAGTAGCGACTAGGGTCTTAAAAGCTTTCGAGTGGCCATCTAAAATGCAACTATTGGTCTCCTCTCATCTGGAGCAAATAAGAGTGAAGAAAATCAGTCATCTGGAAACAATTAGTCCAAAGATAAGATGGACCATGGGGACCTCAGCCTTCATGACCCTGAGACCAGAAAAACTAGATGGTGCCTGGCTACCAATGCCAACCACTCAGAAAGGGATCAAAACTGGAGATCCTGGATAGAGTGGGAGGAAAAATGTGGAACAAAATTAAAAAACACAAAAGTGACTGGAGTTACTGGTCGGATAGAGACTGGTGGAAGCCCTGAGACTATGGCGCCAGGTTATCCTTTGGGCCTAGAAATGGACTCACTTCCATGGATTGGGTTTCAGCCCAACAGTAGAAAGACCTACATCCTGAACACCTAGCCCAGGGCGATGCAGCCACCTACCTACTCTAGGGAGATGCACCCCTTAGATCAATCAGCCATGAGACACCAGAGGGGCAGCAGTCACATAGAGGGAAAGCTGGACAGACAGGAATACACAGATAAGAAGGGCACAGGGAGGACATAGTCATAGGAAAGAGAAGGGAGGAGAGTCTGTTATGGTCGGGGATGGTAATCGGGCTGTAAAATCAAATGTGCATGAACTCTTGAATGTAAAACAAATCTGCTTTGTAAATTTACACCCAAAGCTCATATACACAAAAAGTAATATAGGGATCATTAAGAAGTAAACCAATGGCTTATGACCTTCATTCTGGGTCATTTTCAGATCTTTGTTATCACCATTAGTTTTCTCAGTAGTTGAATATTAGCTAAAACTCAATGATGGTTAGCTTCTAAAGATTGGACAAGTTTTAGAGCCACATTAATAATTAAACCTTTGAGTATACTTTAATCTGAATAAAGACTTGCAAGCTGTGTTTTCTGGTATACTTGTCATCCAGGTACTTCTTTCCAAATTGTTTTGGTGAACTTGGTGGCCTGCTGGTAAATGACTAACAGCCAGCTCTATGATGGAAGGTGGGAAGAGCCCTCACTTGTAGTATTTGCCTTTTTCCATGGCATATATATTCCCACCATGGCAGATTTCAAGATACGATGCAATAGCAAATTGTTATATAGTATTTACACCACAAAGATACAAAGGATGCAAATAATCTTCAGAACAGTGATAATGGTAAAATATAGCAAAATATTTAAGAAATGATAAATTTTGAGTATGATTCCCTTGTTTTTAATCTAACCTTTTAATTATAAAATGACACATCTATTTTTTGATGATAGCTATATTTAACAATCAGCTTGCATAATTTCTGAAAATTTAATGATTGACTCTCAGGAGCTGGGACCAATTGGCTCCAGCAAAACACTGGTAAACCTCATGGGTTATTCCTCTTGAATTATAGTTTATGAAAGGTACTAAGACCTTCGACCACTGTTACTCTGTTTTGGTTCTTTTGTGCCATTCTAACAGACATATCACAAATGGGTGGTTTTAACAAATAGGAATTTATTCTCTTACAGTTTAGGAGGCCAGAAGTCTGAGTCCAAAGTGCCAGCTCTAGAAGCTAGGTGAAAGTCCCTGGACCTTGGGCTTCAGCTGTGCCTCTTGCTCCTGGCCCACTGAAGCTGGAGGCATCTGCTAGCTCAGGCTGCTGAGGCTGACAATCTCAAGGTCAATAAATAAAATGGCACAGTCTCAAAATTATCAGGCAACATGGCAGGCCACTAACTCAAGTCCATTAACAGTCCCAAGATCAGCAGACAACATGGCAGGCCATTGAGATGAAGACTTGGCCAAATGCATGTCCAAGTGTACCAAAAGCTCAGAGACTTTTCTCAATGCTTCTCCTAAGGCAGCTACCCAGCTGCTCCAGTAGATTCCACCTTGGAGTTTGTTACCAGTCTCATGGGGAATAACTACATCCAGCTGCCTATCCATTCAAAACGAGGCCCAGTCAAGTTGACACCCAACTTAACTAACCAAAACAAAACTCACTGCCATTGAATTAGATCCGACTCACAGTGACCCCTTCTTGGATTTCTGACGCAGTATCACACGGAAGTAGATTGTCCCATCTTCCTTCTGAGGAGTGGCTGGTGGTTTCTGGTTAACAGTCAAATGCCTTAGGCACTATGCCACCCAACTTAACAACAGTGTTTTTCTGGAGATTACTATCAAAATCTGGTGTAGCACATGATTGACTAGGAGCCAGGATACACGTGTTCTAACTCTACTCTGCCATTTGCTTGCTGCATAACTCTGAGAAAGTCATTTAACCAAAACCAACATACACTACCTTATTTGTAAAATTAATATAAATAATTTTCTGCCTTTATGGGAGGTTGTTATGGGAATTGACTAAGAAAATAATGGAAGTATTTAAAAAAATCTAAAATATGTAAGTGTAAAGTGTTACCTAAGCCCAAATTTGACCTAGTCTTGTGTGTTGAATTTAATATCTGTTGCTTAGAATTTAACATAGATACTTCATGAGAATATAAGCAGTATATTTCTTGGGAAATAACTGTACCTTGGAAGTGAGCTTGTGGGTTGATTGCTTAGGAGCTAGAAAGCATCCTCCCACAGAGTATTATCATATGTGGAATGTTTCTATTCTAGATTTGTCCACACAGCCTATTCAATAAATAGTAAAAGTAGTACCCTCATTGATAGAATTCGTGATATTTTTCTTTGAAAAAACAGCTCTTCTGAGTTCAGGACAACAGTAAGAGTTGCGTTAGCATCTTCTAGATCTGTGGGGTGACAGTGAGTTTCTTTACCTGGTCAGAAGTCAGTTGTTGCTCTTTTTACCTGTACCTCCAGAGATGGGACTTCTCAAGGTAAGTCTTCCCTGTAGTGTATGAATTTGGCAGTTAGACATTCCCCATAACCCATTGATGTGCATTATGTGTATATTCTTGTTTCTGTTGTTAGTTGCCATGAGTAGATTCTGGCTCATGATGACCCTATGTGTGCTACATTCAAAGCTGTGACCTTTCAGAAGCAGATCACCAGGCCTATTTTCTGAGTCATCTGTGGATGGGTTTGAACTGCCTACCGAGGGCCTCTAGATGCATATTCCAAAATGCAAATCAAAATCACTGGCATCAAGGTGATTCCAACTCAGAGCAACCCCCATTTGGTCTTCCAAGGCTGTGACTATTACAAAATTACAGAAGTAGACTGTCTCATCTATCTTCCATGGAGCACTTGGTGAATTCAAACCATTGATCTTTTGGTTAACAGCCAAATGCCTTAACCACTACACTACTAGAGCTCCTTCCAGATGGGTATTGAAAAAAAAAACAAACAAAAAACTAAAAAATCCAAACTCACTGCCATCGAGTCAATTCCAACTCATAAAGACCCCCTTTGGGTTTCTGAGGTGGTAAATCTTTACAGAAGTAGATTGCCCAGTCTTCCTTCTATGGAGTGGGTGGTGGATTTGAACCACCAACCTTATGGTTAGCAGTCAAATGTTTTAGGCACTACGCCACCAGAGATGGTTTCAAATTGAGTTTAGCAAATTCTAAAATGCCTGTAATGCATGCAAAGCACTCTATCACACAAGGGTTAAACGATTTCTTGCTGAACTCCTACTGTTCATAAAGTGGTTCTCAGAAATCATTAGACCTTCCGAAATTCTCTCTGATGTCAAACTGGTTTGCATGTATGTCACCATTACATACATGTCCTTCCTGTTTCCTTTACCACAAATTAAAAGAAGTAGATTGTTCACTTCAGTTCAACATATAAGGAAAACTTACCATGTGTAAGGCACTGGGCTTGATTCTGGGAGTATGTAGTTTGCTACTCGTGACCATTTATAAAAGCAAGCAAACAAGAAGAAGAACAACAAAACAAACCAAGAAATGAAACAGAAAGGAAGGGAAGCAGAACTCTCCCATTATCTTTAAACTCATTCTGATTTTTCTTAGGAGCCAGGCACTTTTTTATGTTTAAATTTCATAAGTAAAGTACTTAAGAGAATCAGCTGTGGTAGGAGACAATCCTGAGTAAATCAAACCATTTATCTACGTGAGGAAAGTCCACAACAGCTGTGTGTTCACTAGAGAAACCATGGGCTCTGGAGTCAGGGAGGCCTGGGCTTAAAACCTTAATCCTTTATTTATTAAATGTTTGAGCAAATTAGTTACTTCAGTTTCTTCATTTATAATTTGAAGATAGTAATACTGACCTCATTGGGTTGTGGAAGGATTAAATAGCAACACATATTAGATTATTACAAGTTTTCATTATCTTTTTATACTGTTCCTTCATTTGCCACTAATTTTTCACCAGAAATTTAGCTTATTGTTATCATTGGTTATGGAGTGCCTAGACTACCATACCTCAAAGTTGATAGTTTCCAGATTGGCTGGGACACGGTAGGGATTACTTGCTCTAATGTTTTTGACAGTTTTACATATTCCTCCAGTGAAAGAGTTATCAAGGACTTCTCCTCTGGGCTCTCCTGCCAGAAAATGAAACCTAGAAACAAAGTAATTTTCAAGAGTTCAATAGATGTAGAGCAATCTTTAAAATTTACCTTAGTTATATAAAAGAAATTCTTCTCTTAGACAGTTTTGAGTCATGACAAATGACTGGAAGGAATATCTTTTTTTCTAGCTCATGGTGAGGCATCCAGAAAGGTTTAGATGCCCACACTCAGCCCTTCTGGCTCTATTTGTAGAGGTGTGCCCTTGAGTCAAGTATGACTCACAGTGACCCAATACACAGGACAGAATAGAACTACCCCACAGATTTTATCACCTAAGTATGAAGATTCCAACTTCTGTACATCTTCACTAATATTTGTTGTCCATTTTTTAAAATTAAAGCCCTGCTACTTAGTGTGAAACACTGTCTGGTTGTGGTTTTGATTTACATTTCTCTAAGGACGAATAATGTTGGGCATCTTTTCATGTACTTATCCCCCATTTGTATATCTTCTTTGTAGAAATATCTTTGCAGATCTTTTGCCCATTTATTAATTGTGTCTTATTGAGTTGTAAGAGTTCTTGCCATATTTTTATTCTAAGACTTTTATCAGCTATATAATTGCAAATATTTCTTCAATTATGTGGGCTCTCATTTTGCTTTAATGATGGTGTTCTTTGAATCACAAATGTTTTTTAATTCTGATGATGTCTGTAAATTTAGTTTTTCTTTTATCACATGTACTTTTGATGTCATATCTCAGAAGGTTTTGCCTAACCCAAAGTCATGGAGATTTACTCTATGTTTGCTTCTAGGAGTTTCATAATTTTGGATCGTAGCTTAGATTTTGATCCATTTTGAGTTAATATTTTTAAGTTGTGAGGAAGGGGTTCAATTTTATTCTTTTGCATGTGGGTAACAGTTATCTTAGTACCATTTGTTGAAAAAAAATTATTCTTTCTCCACTGAATGATCTTGGCACCCTGGTCAAAATTAAATGTTTATAGATGTAGGAGTTTATTTCTGAACTCTCAATTATTCCATTGATCCAAAAGTTTATCCTTATGCCAGTGCCACATTGTCTTATGAGCTTGGAAGTAGTTTTTAAATCAGGAAGCGTAACTCCTCCATCTTTGTTCTTATTTCTGAGGATTCTTTTTTTGACTATTCTGAGTCTCTTGTATTTCCAAGTTCCAAGTTCTATCATGAAGAAATGCAACTTAAAAAAGGAGACACAGCCATTCAGGAAGGCACCATTTGTGAGTGGAAATGTGTTGATGGGGGCAGAAGTTCTAAAGCCAAAGATTAATACAGAGATTCCAGTAAGCAGCTCTCAAAGCTCTCAGTCCCTGTGGATGCTAAGAGAGAACTGGCTGTCCCTGAGCCAGCAGGTTTTGCTCATTTCTGAGAATCCTTGGGACAACAGCTCTGTTTGGCAGAGTGCCACATGGTTCTTTTGCCAAAGTACACATAGCATGTGGTCCTCTCCATCTGTAAACTCTAGAGTCTAGACCAGCTGAGCAAGAGGTGAGATTGTAATGTCACTCCTCATCAATCAGAACATTACAAGATGTGATTATCAGTGGGAGTTTTTGGCTGATTTGCAGCTGAGGTTATCTTCTGGGGAAAGGAAAAGAAGGAACTATTTCTCCACATGGATAAGAGGGTGATACTGAAGCACTCTCATTAGGGTCAGTCCTAATTGAGATTTCTTAGTACACAACCTCAGTAAGTATGCAGTCATTAAACATACAGATGAGGAAACTGAGGCACAGAGATGTTAAGTACCTTGGCTGTGATGTAGTGAGTTAATGCAGAACTAGGCCTAGAACTAGCTCTGCTTACTTCCAGACTAATGGTTGTTCCATTTTACTGGTGTCCTTGAATTTGGTCCAATAGCTTCTGGTTTTTACTCTAAATCAAATGAGGCTGTATTTTCAATTGCTGCTATTTGCCTTTGGTGCTTCAAGGTTTCATATTATGCAACTCTGGCAGCATAAGTAAATACTTAAATTAAAAAAAAAATCCAATATGAAGCAATAAAAACCAATAACAAACTATTTGCTTGCTGGCTAAAAATTTAAGGGAACTGTCTTCATCATAGGAAGAGGGAGGCACAGGAGGTTATCTTTACTGATTTTTCTTATATTTTCAACCAGGAATTACTGCTTCTGTTTCAATGATGTACCTTATATTTCCTAAAGTTTTCCAAGACATTGTCCCAGTACACTGAATTTAGAATCCCTGGCCAAACCTCCAAAGCCCTCATGAGAAGATAGTCTTGCAACAGGAGCTTTAGAACTTCTGAGCACTCTTCAGAGAGACAGGGAGGAGGGTTGAGGGGTCTCTTGAGGTTTCTTCCAGTATGTTCACATCTCTAATATAAATGTTTTCCTGAGTCAGCATGAAGTAGTGGAAATAATCTGAGTTTTGTAACCTGAATTTGAATCCTGGTCCTACTAGTTGGTGGATTTGGACAGTTATTTAATCTTTCTGAGGCTTAGTATCTTGAATTGTGAGTCGAACAAGCAGGATTACATAGTAATGCAGGTCTGATCTTCTGACTTTAAACTATATTGACCATGCCTCACATGGTCCTTATGAGAGGAAGTTTTGGACACCCTAATCATGTTCACCTTATCATTTTCCATGCAATTTTTGGTCACATTCTCTGTTTTATATGCGCCTAACACCTATCTTTCTGACTTTGTCTCCTATTGTTAACCTGGGCTTGCCTCTCACACTGGAGGAATAGTGTTGCTTCTTCAGTGTTTTCACTTGCTATGTGCACATAGCCATGCTTCTCTTTCTTTATTCATTCCTGGCATTTAAGAGTGGTTACTCACCCATTTAAAACCTAGACCTGGGAACCCATCCTGGCACCTGTCAGCACCAGTCCAATCTGATCCACTCCAGAGTTGTCAGAGTTAGAATTCCTGTTTCAATTACAGATTCTAATGCTTCTGTTTCAGGAATAGCTGAAATAGGTATGTGGTGAGAATCAAAGAAGGCAATGTTTTGAAGGGCCTGTAATATTATCTGGCACAAAGTAAACATGCAAATGGTAATCCTTTCATTCCTCAGGAGTAAGGATCACAGCCACAAGCCACCTGTGCATGGTAGCCATTGTCAGAGATGGGGCTGGCTAGAGTAATAAGAGTGTAGTGAGGAAGGTAGACAATGACTTGTCTCACTGCTTCAGTGCTCTCTCCTTCCAGCCTACTAGTTTTGAAATGCCTTTTCTCCTGCAAAATGATAAATAAAAGTTACATACCCTGTGCCCATTAGCTGCACGCTAGGGACGGGAAGATATTTCCGTGAGCACACTGCCCTTCTCGCCCCACAGTCCTTTTCATCTGAATTGTCTCCACAGTCATTTTCTCCATTACATTCTAACTTGCTGGCAATGCAGCGGCCTAGTCAAGAAAAGCAAACAACAACATCAGCAACAAATTACCACTTAACATAGGATTTATATATTTGGAATGCAGATGCTTTAAATTTCCAAGTAAAGTTGAGAGAAAGCTTTCATTGTTTTTGATAAAAATTCAGGTGCATATGGAAGTGATAAACTCATATATTCCTTTCTTTTTTTTTTTTCAGGATTACAAGAGTTATCATAGAATTATTTAGTCACTATTGGGCTGATTGTCTTAAAAAAGAGAATGAATTCTATAATCAACTTGCTGCAGAGATCAAGATCATGTTGTTTATGAGAAAATTAACAGAAGGTTCAGAATTTATTGTGATCTAGGATGCCAGCCTCAGGGTCACTGTTTTTATTTGGAAAAAACTATCATTCCCCGCCCCACCACCACATATACATATATCTACTGACACACACAAAATGAATGAATCTCAAACCCACTTTATTGAACAAAAGAAGTCAGACACATAAGAGTCATGCCATGCCATATGATTCCTTTATATAAAGTTCAAGATTGGATTGACTTAAAAGGGGGAAGGAAGAAACTTTCTCAGTTTATGGAAATG